CTGTGGCCAGCACCTGGCACAGTGCTGAGTGAGGGCACCGTTACCCCGAGGGCAAGTGCCTGAGCTGGACGCAGGCTTCAAATCCAGACCCTTTCGCCTGCCTGTAAGCTCCATAAAACCCCGCCTCTGTCCACCGTTCCCATTTCCATCCCGCAGGCCCTTAGCACACAGAGGTGTGGCTCCTGGGTCTCTGGTTCTAGGGACCAGGGAAGAGCCAAAAGGGGGTGCTGATTTGACCCTGTGGGTAACCAGCAGTCACCTTTTCCTCCCCCCAGGGGTCAGCGTCATTCTAGGGGTCTCTGGACCCCAGGGAGCGCTTTATTTTGTTTGTAACAAAGGCAAGGGGGCCCTTCTCCAGAGTCCTGCCCTAGGCTGTACCCAGTTGCCACACAGAAGGGAATGTGGGACGGTGAGTCCCGTCGTAGCCCACTGGGCTGTCACGGCTGCATGCTGAAGCATCATCAGCTAAGAGGCATATTTGTGAGTGAAATCAGCTGAGCAGAACAGGTCCAAGAGAAGGAGCACGCTCTCACCCAGGTGCACATGGTCAGGAGGGACCTAACGGTGCTGTGGACGCTCGGGTCTGGCCGCTGCTTCCACCACTTTTTGACCCTGCTTGGATGTGTCGCCGCACCCAGGCCCTGTCCACGGCATTCCACAGTCCACGCCCGCGGCGGTGGAGTTTTCCTGTGGCCTTTGGTTCTCCAATGATGCATTGTGGTTTTGTTTTGCTCCCCTTGGGAGAGACTAAGCAACAGGTTCCTGGTGAGGCTGGTGAATGAGGAGGTGAAGGTCATGGCTGTGAGGATGGGCAGCGAGGGCATCGCATCCACAGAGCTCACACCCCTCTTTGCCCAGCGATGTCTGCGGGCCCTCCTCTCCTCTCCCACGCCCATTCCTCAAATGCCATTCTGGCACAGTGGCGCTCTCTGTACCCACAGCGAAGGGTTTGCAGGCCCAGCAGTGGCCCGCCTTTGCAAGCACAAGCCAAAGGCCAAAATTCTAGTACAGCAAAAGAATGTTCCCTCTTGGAGCTCATCGTCCCAGCAGCTCACTGAGGGGTCCACTGGTGTGCCCGTGCTAACGCAATAGGGAGCTCTGACTTTCTCCTGAGACATTTCACTTGGATAGATTTTCTCTCTAAGTCAGGTTTCTCCACCTCAGCGTTAGTAACATTTTGGGCCGGATCATTCTTTGTGGTGGGGCTATCCTGTCTGCTGTAGGATGTTGAGCAGCATCCCTGGCCTCTACCCACTGGATGCCAGCAGCACCCTCCAACCAGTTATGTCAATCCAAAATGTCCCCAGACACGGCAAAGTGTCCCATCAGGGGCAAAAATCACCCTCAGTTGAAACCACCGATCCATGGAAGCTCTGGGGCTCCCTGTGTCCTCGCACAGTGAGGCCTATCACAGGAGACTGTGCAGAGCAGGATGTGTGATGTGTGGGCATCCTCTGCTTGGGTGGCAACGCGGGGCAGGGAGCGGAACCCCGGCCGGCCCACCCCTCTTCCCGGGAGACCCGGGAACGGAGCACGTACGGGCGGAAGCTCTAGGGCCAGGACTGTGGTCTGAGGTCCAGCTCTGCCACTCGCTCCCAGGAGATTCAGGCAACTTACTCCCTCTCTCTGGGTCTCGCTTGGCACATCCGTGACTCAGGGATTAAGACGGTGATAGCATTCCTTCTGGGGCTATTGAGAAGATCGAATGCTCAATAAATGTGACCTGCAATGATTATTTTATCAAGGTTTAGTCACAGTGGCAACTCAATGTTTTTTTTTTTTCCGTTGGGCACAAGGGGTGGCTGGCCCTGGCTCCCTCCCCAGTAAGATTCTTAACACAAGCATTTTTAAAAGGACACTTTGGGTCCCTGTCAGGACCACCTGACACCCACGGAATGAAGGTGGTCAGAGGACTTCTGGTGCAAAGCTGGTCTGAGGTGCCCTCTTGCCCTACCAACAGTTCTGGCAATGGTCACCGAGTGCCCTGCTGTGCCATGGTTTCAGGGCAGCTCACTGCCCATCCTGGAGCCCCCATGGGCCCTGCACAGCGCCCGGCCCACCGTTGACTGTGTAGGGGCAGCAATGAGCTTTCTGGGCTCCTGTACCCCCTCTGCCCTTCACTAGCTCTGTGACGTGGGCAGGTCCCCACACCTCTCCCGGAATCGGTTTCTTCCTCTGTAGAGTAAAGATCGTCAGAGTACAAACCTTCCAGGGACTTTAAAGAGACTTACATGGGATAACATGAGAAGCTCTTAGCGCAGGATGCGTAGTAAGCACTAATTGTTAGCACTGTTGTCATTAATTTAATGTTACAGGGATTAAGGTAACAGAAAGCTTGCGGTGCACAATAACAACCAAGCTTGGTTCACCCCCTTGGAGGTAAACATGCCCGGGGAAGTTACTTGGGAAGACATTTCAGAAGTGGACAGACTTTCTGTTCCTGAGGTGTATGTGGGTGGGAGGGTCACTAAGGAAGAAGGAGGGACCCCTTCCCCACCCACAGGTCTTTCCAAGGCCCCGCCAGGGCCGTGGTGAGCCCAGCCCAGGCTTCGCAAGCTTGTGAGAGAAAATGATTGCTGGGGAAGCTCTCGAGAAGCTGAATCCAAGAGACCATGCAGGGCCAGCCTGAAAGGCCGTGTGGGACCGAGTCGGCCAGGGTGTGCCCGGGGTGTGCTCGGGGTGGCTGAGACGAGGGGCTCCAGCTGAGGGATGAGCCCTGCCCCTTCCCTCCCTCCAGGGGCTCACTGGGGACTCGGCTCAGTGAGTCAGTGTGAGCCAGCGATCTGTGGGGCGTGAGGGCTGAGTCAGGGCCCTCCCCGCAGTGACACTTGGAGGAGCTCAGCCCCTACTTGTAAAACCAGGGCAGTGCCAGGGGTGGGAAACGGAGGCACGTTGGTGAGTGGGGCTGCAGTCAGGGCTGACCTTCTAGGCTGGAGTCTCCTCATCACCTCCTTCTTCCTCCCCTTCGTCCTGTCCCTCCACCTCCTGGTCTGTCTCCAGACTTGGCTGTTCCTGCCAAGAAAAGACAGCGCAGAATTGTGTGTGGGGTGGGGGCAGGCCTCCCCTGCACCCCAGAAAATTAACCCCTTGAGGCCAAAAACAGCTAACGGGCCAAGGCCTGGATTGCCGAGCGCCCAGAAGACCCTGCGGCCAGCGCCATGGCCGTGAGGGCCTAGTGGGTGCTCAGGGCCAGCGGGTGTGGACAGCGGGCACGGCCTTGGGCGTCCAACAGACTTGGGTACAAGTCCTGCTTCTGTCGCTTGCTGACTGGGTAACCTCGGGCTAGCTCCTCCTGGGTCTCCTTGGTCCCCTCCCCTGTAAAATGGACATGATTCTTCACAGGGCTGTGGCCGGGATGAGACATAATGGGTGTAAGGACCCAGTGCTGCTTTATCAGCTCTGACCCCAGAATTTCTGGCCAACTGCACAAAACTAGGAGAGAGGCGGGACTTGTGTGGCTGGCAGAGAGGGAGGGGGCCAGTTCTGTGAACCTTAACCCCTTCTGAGGCTCGGCTTCTCCGTCTAGAGAGTTCAGGCTGCTGTGAGGAGCACGTTCAGGACCTCCAGCATCAGCATGGTGTCTGTCAGCCGCAGCGCACCGCAGAAGGGGGTCAATGTCGGCATCATCCTCTGGGGGCTGGAGGGCCCAGAGGTGTGGGTGGGAGGAGCCCGCAGCTGCGGGTCAGAAAGCCAGGACAACAGTCTCGCCTCTGCCATAAACGGAGGGAACTCCCTGCCCCGCCTGTGTCACACAGATAGCATGAGAATGGAGCTGCTCGTCTCCAAGTACTTCCGGCAGAAATCACAGCCTGGCCCTACCCCATTGTGGGGGTGAGGGGGACAGAAGAGGGAAGAAGTCACGAGATGAAACTGATTATCTTCCCCATGTGCTCACCCGTCTTCCGTCACCCTGACCACTCCATTAGTGCCTGACAACGTGCCACACAGATGTGCAAGCAGGGCTGGTGTCGTGGGGTGGGGGGGTGGCCCATGCGGTCACATGGGGCCTGTGCTCACAAGGGCCCCACACTTGCTTTAACGTTCTGCTGCCATTATCTTGAACTTCTCAATCCTTTTTGTTTTTTCTTTTTTTTTGCTGAGGAAGATTTGCCCTGAGCTAACATCTGTTGCCAGTCTTCCTCTATTTTGTATGTGGGTCATCAGCATGGCCACTGATAAGTGGTGTAGGTCCACACCAGGGAACCAAACCCAGGCTGCCAAAGCAGAGCGTGCTGAACTTAACCACTAGGCCACAGGGCCGGCCTCCATCAAACTTCTCAATACTTTTTGAACACGGCGCCCCACATTTTCATTTTGCCCTGGGCCATGCCCCCAAATTATGTAGTCGGTCCTGCTCACAAGGGTAGATACTGGCATACACTCGCTTGTTCTTTTCCTTCCGTGCTGTTCTCTCACTTGTTCACATCTTAGCATCTTGTCTGTGGGCCCCTAAAGGCGATGGCCCAGACTGACAATGCCTTTTCTTCCTCTGTCCCCTGGTACAGAGGACGGCCTGGGAAGTGACCAGACACCATCTTTATAGCTCAATCTCCTCCTTCTCCAGATGAAAATTCAGGAGCCGAGAAGTACAGTGACCGGGCCAGGCGTTACAGTGAGAAAGTGCTTTAAAGCTGGGGCCATGGGGATGAGCTCAGCACAAACCACCCCTGACACCAGGCAGGGTGAGCAGCACGCCCTCCACACGCCACACCACAGATTTCACAGTCCCTCCTCTGCGGGCCCCAAGGCTCACTCATCTGACAGCTCACTTAGCCCGGGATCCTCATTCAGGCGGTCACACGCATGTTCAAGGTGCCCACTGGTGGGAAGAGCATTCCAAGAAGCAAGGAGCACGACTCCTACTCTCACAGAGCCTGAAGTCTGTTTGGAGACTGAGGATTCCTCAGGAGGAAGAGAGGAATTCCTCCCATTTGCCAGATGGACAAATGAAGGTCCACCTGGTAAGGCTACTTGCTCAAGGTCACCCAGGAGGTCAGCAAGCAGGCAGAACTCAGGCGCCCTGGCTCCCACCCGGCCCACCCAGGCCCCCGCTCAAGGCCCCTACAAGCTTGGACTTCATGGCTTCCGCCTCCTTCTTCTTCAGCTCCGTGAAGATGATGTCAAAGAACTCCTCCTCGGCCTTGGAGACCAGCTCCTCCAGGTTGACGGCGGGCTGCTCCTCCCTCAGGTCGTCATCCCTGCCCTCCACTTTGCCTTTCTCCTTCAGCCGCATCTCTCGGTGCCTCGCCTCCAGAATCTTCTCCCGCCGGGTCTCGCGCTCAAATATCTGGGGTACACGGGGAGAGAGAGGCTCGTGGGAAGAGGGTGGGCAGCCAGTGGCTCCCAGCACAGGGGCCAGGCTGGAGTCTCCCAGCTCTACTCAAGGCAGCCCCCAAAGAGGTCTATACTCAGGGCTAATAGCGAGAAAGGAGGGCTAAATATTGGGGTCAGAAGGCGGGAGCAGGGACGCCAAGTTACTCAATTCCAAGGAGTTCCCAGAACATGGACGACAGCGTGAAGAACGTCCTCTGGAGTTGTGCAACATGGCGGCCGTGGGCCCACGAAGGACCAGCTCCGCAGTGGGACCACAACCTCAGGCGGAGCCAGGGCTGTCAGCTCCACAGCGTGCCCCACGGTTCTGGGGCCGTGACGCCCCAGGGCTACCCGCCAGGGTGGGGTGCAGTGGCGGATCTCAGCCCCTGGCGCCCCGTCCCCAGGGCAGCCCCCTTCCCTCTGTCCTCTCTATTGCCATTCTCCCAAGCCTTCGTTTGACAGGTTCTGCTGCAAAAAAATATATTGTTTGCAACTAGACCAACTGACCTAGTCAAACCACTTTGATTTGCAGCTGAAAAATGGAAGCCTGGAGAGGAAAGGCGACTTGTTCAGGGCCACTTAGCTGCTTAGTGGCTGAGCCAGGGCAGATTCAGACACTCCTAACATCCGCTTACTGTGCTCATTTCAGGACACCACGCTGCCTCCCCGACAATGTCCACCCATTTCCCAGGAGGGGAAAGGGAGGGGCCGTATGTTTTTCTCTGACTGGCCTGCTCTGCCATGGGGCCAGGTCAAGACGTGACTGGAGTGCCCCTCGCCCCTGGCACCAGGCACTCACGGAAGAAGCTGTGTTCTTCTCATTCCTCTGGAGGGTGCAGAGCCCGTGTGAGACCTCCAGCAGTGTGGCTGTCCCGAGCTGGGAGCCACAGGCGATGAAACACCCGTTGTCCTGCACCCGGAGGCAGAAGAGGGCCTCGTCACACACCTGTTGGAGGGGTCAGGCAGACCCGGGTGGGGGAGGAGAGAGGAGCAGAGTAACCCTTTGTCTGATTACCTGCCCCTGGGGAGGCTTAGCCAAGCAGCCCCATTCAGACACCCTGGGTGACTCCCCCAGACCCACAGGATGAAGTTCACACTCTGAGATTGGCTGTCAAGACCCTTCGCCCCCAGCCTCTTCTCCCACCTTACCCCACCCCTTCAGTCCAGCCCACATTCTTCCCGCAGTTTCCCAAACCCCCTGCCCTCCATGGCCCCGGCCAGCGGGTCTAGGCTCTGGTTATGATAACTAATATGATAACATTAGCCCTGGCTGGAAGGGTCAGCTGCCAGGAGCCCAGGCCCAGGGCTTCTGAAGGAATAGGCCTGGTGGGAGGAGAGGCAGGCATCTGCTTTTTTAATTTCCCCCAGGTGATTCTGTCATGCCACCAGGGCTGGAGGGCCTGGATGCATGGGGAGGGAGGTGTACATGACCTTCAGGCTGAGGGCGGGGTCACACTGCTTGAACACAAAGTCCCAGATGTCCAGAGTCCCGTCCATCTTGGTGGTAAAGAAAACTGCCGGCCTTACCGGGCTCCAGGCGCCATCGGTGAGGTAAGCCATGTGGTACCTGTGGGGAGCCGGGGGCCACCAGTCAGGGACCGCTGTGGCTGTGGTTGGATGGACAGAGAGGCCGCGGAGCCTGCTCACCCAGCCTGCTCACCCAGCCCCTCTCAGGCTCCTGGGTCTCATTGCTGGGCAGGAAGTTCTTCCTTGTGTCTGACTTCTAGCCTTGCCAACCTCACCCACCCACAGCTCATGGTACGCACTTTAAAGGGCTCTGGGTATGGTCCTTCTCATGGGCTGGCCACTGGCGTTTCTCCACAGCTAACTTGAGGGAACAGATACTTGTTGCTGGATCTGGGCCCAGTTCCCCAGCTGTGGGACTCACTGAAAGGAGTCAGAGGAAAGACGTGCCCAGAAAACTTCATAATATTGAGATTAGGGGAGTGTTATACTTCCTACTTGATTTAATCTAGATTTCAAAGATTTCTGCAGTGGAGAATGAAATTGGACCCTTATCTTACACTATATACACAAATCAACTCATAATGAATTGAAAACTTAAATGTACGACATAAAACTCCTAGAAGAAAACATAGGGAAAAAGCTCCTTGACATTGGTCTTGGCAATGAATATTTGGATATGACACCAAAAGCACAGGCAACGAAAGCAAAAATAAAGAAGTGGGACTACATCAACATAAAAAGCTTCTGCACAGCAAAGGAAACAACTGACAAAATGAAAAGGCAACCTATGGAATGGGAGAAAATATTTGCAAACCATCTATCTGGTAAGGGGTTAATATCCAAAATATATAAGGAGCTCATATAAATCAACAGCAAAGGAACAAATAGCCCAATTAAAGAATGGGCAAAGGACCTGAACAGATGTTTCCCCAAGAAGACATACAAACGGCCAACAAGCACATGAGGAGGTGTTCAACATCACTAATCATCAGGGAAATGCCAATCCAAACCACAGTGAGACACCACCTCACGCCTGGTAGAATGCCTATCGTTAGAAAAACAAAAGACAAATGTTGGTGAGGATATGGAGAAAAAAGGGAGCCCTTGTGCACTGTGGGTGGGAATGTAAAGTGGTGCAGCCACTATGGAAAATAGTACGGAGGTTCCTCAAAAAATTAAAAATAGAACTGCCATATGATCCAGCAATTCTACTTCTGGGTATTTATCCAAAGGAAATGAAAACAGGATCTTGAAGAGATACCTGCAGTCCCATGTCCATTGCAGCATCACAATAGCCAAGATATGGAAACAACCTAAATGTCCATCGATGGGTGAATGGATAAAGGAAATGTGGCATATACATACAATGGAATATTATTCAACGTTAAAAAAGGAGATCCTGACATTTGCAACAACATAGACGAACCTGGAGGACATTACAAAGTGAAATAAGCCAGACTCAGAAAGACAAATACTGTATGTCTCACTTATATGTGAAATCTATAAAAGTCAAACTCATCGCGGCAGAAAATAGGTTGCCAGAGGCTGGAGGGAGGGAGAAATGGAGAGGTGATGGTCAAAGGGTACAAAGTTACAGTTATACGCGATACGTTCTTGAGATCTACTGTACAGCCGAGTGCCTATGGCTAACAAGACTGTGCCGTATAGTTAAAATTTGATAAGAGGGAAAATCTTATGTTAAGTGTTCTTAGTGCACACAGATAATTATAATAAAGGAGGTGGGATGGAGGTGATGGATGTGTCTCTGGCCTCCATGGTGCTGATGGTTTCACAGGCGTGTGCTTACCCCAGGCTCATAGAGCTGTACGCGTGGAGTATGGACAGATTTTTACATGTCAATTATACTTCAATAAAATGGTTTAGAATATATATATATATATACATGAGATGAGACTGTCAGGACTTGGATTTAGATGGTGAGGCAAGAAAGATGTGAGAATAAGTCCTAGATTTCCTCTCATACAGCTGGATGGTAGAGCAGGAAATGGACCGGGCTCGGGGGCTGATGGTAGTGGGAAGCGGATATTGCAAAGATACATAACAGAGCCTGGTGCTTGGCGGCTGAAATTTCTTCTCAAGCATGTTTTCTGATATATCTTCTTGTTAATGCCACCATCCTCCTTGGAGCATAAAACTCTCAAAAAGAGAATGAGTATAATAAACATAATGATGTCTATGTCTAAAATTTGCAGTGATGCAGCTGGGCCCGTGGTGGCCGAGCCAGAGACCACATTTCCCAGCCTCCTTTGCAACTAATTGTGTGAACAGCTAGGCCACAGGGGGAGAAATTATCAGGACAAAAGAAACTATCTGGAGATTTTTGACGAACAATGAATAATTTTTGGTGTAAGTATGTCCTCAATATTGCATGGGACATAATCAAAAAATCAGTCTTTGTTTTTTCTGAAATTCAAGTTTAACTGGGCATCCTGTATTTTATTTGCTAAGTCTGTTCAGTCCTACACAGGAGGAGAGGGAGGGAGCCACACAGGCTGTAGGACACAGGCCCACCAACGCCCTCCAGGAACCGGCCTGGAGAAAGGCCGAAGGCGAGGGAGGGTGCTCTGCTCATCATCCACGGCTCTCCCCTCTCCTTAGCACATACCCTGAACACCTGCAGGATCCAAAGAGTGTTGGGAAGGCTCCACTTTCACCCAGACCCTGGGTAGGTGACACAGAGCCCTTTAACTTGCTATGTGACTTAGAACAGAGCGCTGCCCTCTGGGCCTCCATTTCCATCCCTGCAGAATGGGGAGATTGGACCAGATTTCTGCTCCAAAAGCAAAATTGCTGAATCATAAGCCTGGGGGAGCTCCTTAACACACCCATTCCTGGGCCAAACCCAAGATCCAATACAGCAGGACCTCCATGGCTGGGGATCTGGAATCTGGATTTAAATAAAGAACTCCTCCCAGGAGATCCTGATGCAACCAGATTTGGGAACCACTAGAACCAAAGAGGTCCATTCGGGTCCACGGCGGCATGGACATTGCAGGAGAGTGATTGCATGAGCTGGAAATGAACCCCAGATTCACACACATGAAGGCTAGGAGGGCACCCGTCCCCCAGCCCCACACCTCTGCTCTGGTCTCTTGGTTCTGCCAGCACTGCGGCATCTATGTGAGGTGTGGCTCTCTCCGGCTCACCCAGGGGCAGTGGGACTGTCCCCAGGGGTCTCAGTCTCACGGCATCCCCTTGGCCTCTCTCTGGGCAGGCTGGGCGAGAGCCCCAAGCTTCTCTGTTCTAATTACAGTCTCACAGCTCTGTCCCAGACTCCCTCTCTGCTCCTCTCCACCCACCCTCATAGGAGAGGAGACCCACCAGGCTGTCCTGAGGAGGTGCCCAGATTCTCAGTTCAAGCTGCCTGGGTTCAAACCCCAGCTCTGCTCCTCGCCATCTGGGAGACCAGGAGCAAGTGGCTTTGCCTCCCCGTAGTTCAGTTTCCTAACACAGTGAGGTGGTGAGAAGAGCGAGGCTACCTATGGCTGTCTTGAGGGTTACGAAAATTATCCCATGGCTGTTATCATTACTAACCCAGGCGGTTTGAAGCATATTCCTTTGTGAAGTGGCTGAATCAAGCCATTTCCTAGCATAAACTCAGGTGTTTGTGGAGGGGGCTTTTCTCCATTTTACGGGTGGACACATGGAAGCTCAGGGCGCTCTTGGGCTGGGCTGGGCCCCCTCTGTCCCCTCCACTCCTCACCTCCCCCTCCCATCCCCAACCTCCTCCATTACTTGGTCCACATGATGGACGACTCCCGGCTGTCTTCCGACCAGATGCGGGCAGTCCAGTCGCCGACGGTCAGGAAGTTCTTTGGGTAGAAGGGGTTTCTCTGGAGGGCATAGATGGGGCCATGGTGGCCCGAGAAGGTGTACAAGATCTTCTCAGCCGACGTCTTGGCCTTGCGGTTGCAGGAGATGACGATGCCCTGCTCGGTGCCCACCATGAACTTGGTTGGCTGTGGAGGAGGTGACACAGGAGTGGAAGCCTCCATGAAACATCAGCTCAGGGCTTAGCCAACGTGGTGAGCGGCCCGCTGGGGAGGGGCAGGGGTAGGGGTTGCGAAGGTGCTGGAAGGACCCTCTGTTTAAGCCTTTGCTCAGGATGTGCCCCACCCCCTCCTAGGGAACCGCCCCACTCTTCCCAGCCTTGTCAGATCCCACCCTTCTTTAGAACCTATGGGCCCCATAGTTAATGAAGCCCTCCATGACTCTTCTAGTCCCTGGAGAGTCTCATCCCTCTCTTCATGTAGCACCACTGTGCCCACTAGGCATTTTGCCATAAAGATCCTGAATGTCTGGGGGCTGGTCCCACGGTGTAGCGGTTAAGTGCGCGTGCTCCTCCGCTGGCGGCCCTGGTTCGGATCCCAGGTGCGCACCAATGCACTGCTTGTCAGGCCATGCTGTGGCGGCGTCCCATATAAAGTGGAGGAAGATGGGCACAGATGTTAGCCCAGGGCCAGTCTTCCTCACCAAAAGGGGAAGATTGGCATGGATGTTAGCTCAGGGCTGATCTTCCTCACCAAAAAAAAAAAAAAAAAAAAGATCCTGAATGTCTGTTTACAGATAAAGTAAATGATTGAATGAATGATATAAAACATGCATCTAGAAGAGCTCCCCCCAGCCTCTAGCTACTCCCTGCAACACTGGGCTACACTGTACACCTGTGTTCACAGCATCTTTATTCACAACAGCTAAGAGGTGGAAGCAACCCAAGTGCCCATCGACAGATGAATGGATAAACAAAATGTGGTAGGTCCATACAATGGAATATTATTTGGCCTTAAAAAGGAAGGAAATTCTGATGCATGCTATAATGTGGATGAACCTTGAGGACATTATGCTAAGTGAAATAAGCCAGTCACAAAAGGACAAATACCATATGATTCCACTTATATGAGGTACCTAGAGTAGTCAAAGTCATATAGACAGAAAGGAGAGTAGTAACCAGGGGCTGAGGGAGAGGGAGAGAAGTGGGGAGATGTTGTTTAATAGCTACAGAGTTTCAGTTTTGCAAGATGAAAAACTTCTGGAGATCCGTTGCATAGCAATGTGAATATACTTAACACTATTGAATTGTACACTTAAAAATGGTTAAGATGGTACATTTTATGTTATGTGATTTTTACCACAATTAAAAAGAAAAACAACTGGGTTACAAGTTGAAGATCAAAGGGAGGTGAAGACACAGCTTGAGAAGCCCAGAAAAGTAAGTAATGAACTACAGGGCTCCTGCAGGCTAGTAAGGGAGATGAGCTACCCGGATCTCGACGGCCCGTCATGCCTCTGGCCTCAGACTTCTTGGTGGGGTTGGGGTGGTGAGCCTGGGCCTTCGAGTTGAGCCCCAGCTCCACCGTGTTCTAGAGCACGTGACTTACCTCACTAAGACTCATTTTATTCATCTGGAAAGTCGAGATAATAATGTTACCTCACAAGATGGTCATGGATGTTCACACAAGCTCATCATGTAAGGCAGTTACGAGTGTCAAGCACACAGGGTGCACTCAGTGACAGGCGTCGGGGAGGTGGGAACTAGTGGTGGCAGGGTCATTACATCTAGCACTTGGCCTAGAAATCCATGATTCCGGAACAGAATGTTTTTCTGAGTCCTCCCATCCCGACCACATCTAGGGTTGGGGTCAGTTAAATTGTCTTCCATTTCACCCCATCAACACTCATCCCCCAGCCTAGGGTGAGGACTCCAAGGGCAGGGGGTGAGGCCAGAGCACCTCCACCTCCCAAAGGTCTAGGAATGATGTCACATGGCCCGGAGGCAAACCAGTGACAATCCTAAGGGGGAGCCAGGCCTGGGCCTCAGTGAGACATAAACCAGGAACTGGCCCAAGCCAAGAGCCATCTGGGAAATTTGTTTTCTTGCTTTGGAGGGAGTCTTCATTTGCTGCTTCTAGGAGCTTCCCTCCTCTAACGCATTCACATTACTGCTTTCATATTTCTTTACTGTTCCTTCTCAGTTACTAAATGCCTTAATTACGCCCGTGCTCTGGTTTTCCAAGGAGCCCCCTCTGATTTCATTTCCCTCTCCATCACCTCTTTCTTTCCCTACTGGAAGTGAAGGGACCAGCACAGGGTCCCACATGAGGCAGGGGCAGAGGCAGGGTGTGGCCTCCTGATGTTGGTCCTGGGCAGGCCTCTTCCCAGAGAATGAGGCTTTTCTGGAATCCTGTCCTGTCAGCAAGTGACTTTGTGGGACTCAGAGTGGCTTCTTTCCTCAAGAAGCTCTGCTGCCCCCTGCTGGCAAGTTGTTGTAAAGACCACAGAGGTCCAGGATGACCACAATGCGGATGGCCCTCCCTGGAGCAGTCCGGTGCCCCAGGTAAGAAGCAGCCCAGGGTCCACAAGCATCTGATGCACGAGCCACAGCCTGCCCTTGGCTCCAGCTGCTCCAGCAGTGGAAGTCAGGGAAGGGAGAGGAAGGGACGCTCACCAAAGTAGACTCGAACTCCAGGGAGATGGCCCCCAAGGCATTTTCCAGCTGTTCCTTTTTGGTGATGTCCATGATCACCACCTCTGTGGGCTGGCTCAATTTTCGGATATCCCACCACATGACCTGATGGGAGGAGGGGGCGACTTTGAGACCTGAGGTCCCTTAATTCTCCTGGCTTTTGCCTCCCCCACCACCTCCAACTTCCTGGGGTCAGTCACTGGGGCCAAAAGAGTGTGTGACAGGGGCTACCAGCAACCTGCGGGAATAAACATGCTTTGAGAATCACTGTCCACGGTCCAAGCCCAGCTGATCATCAGAGTCGTGGGCAAGCTTCATAAAATCCAGATGCTGGGGCCTCACTCCAGACAGACTAAATCAAAATCACCAGGGGCGAGCCCTGGAATCTATCTTCTTAAAGGCTCCCCACAATATGGCAATAAATAGCAATGTTATAAATGCATATATACTTTGACCCAGAAATCCCACTGCCAGGAATGTATGCTGTAGATGTACCTTCACAGGTGTGCAATCATCTCTATATGAATACACTCGTTGCTACATTTTTTTAGTAACAACAAAATATTAAAACCTACTTAGGGGCTGGCCCGGTGGCATAGCGGTTAAGTGCATGCGCTCCACTTCAGCGGCCCGGGGTTCGCAGGTTTGGATCCCAGGTGCGCACCAACGCACCGCTTGTCAAGCCATGCTGTGGCGGCGTCCCATATAAAGTAGAGGGAGATGGGCACGGATGTTAGCCCAGGGCCAATCTTCCTCAGCAAAAAAAGAGGAGGATTGGCATTGGATGTTAGCTTAGGGCTGATCTTCCTCACACACACACACACACAAACTCCTTAAATAAATTATGGCATAACCAACGTAGTCCTTAACAGGTATGGGGCTGTGCTTTATGAAATATGAAATCATCTTCAAGAAATGCTAAATGAAAAACATCAAGTGCAGATCAATGTGTAAGGTGTGCAAAAAGAGAGTGAGGAAGACAGATTGTTTGCTTCTGTATGCAGAGACTATTCCTGAAGGCAGACTAAGCAATGGATGCAAGTGGGTACCTATGGGAGGGGGATGGGAGGCTTGCGGGCAGAGGTGGGAGGAAGGCGTTGCACTGTCTGCCCTTCTGTACCTTTTGGATTTTGGTGCATGCGCATGTGCTGTATTACCTGTTACTGTGCTCCCCACCCCCTCACCCCTACAGAGACTGGCCTGTCAGTACCTGCCCGTCCGTGGATGCTGAGAAACACTCAGTGCCCGTCTTCGACTGCAGCCAGATGGTGCTGTACACAGGGTCTCGGTGGCTGAACTCAATGGTGGACAGCTCCGCCACCAAGCTGCCCTTCCGGGTGTCCCAACAGGCTGGTGGGGGAGAAAGGGAGGGGGAGGTGAACGGGGGCACAGGCTCCCTTCCCTGGTGCAGGGAACAGAGGATAGAGGGATGCTGCTTCTCTTGGTTTGGGGGGTATGTGGTTTTTTAGAATCAGGGCTAGGTTCAAACCAGCCTGAGTTTCCAACCAGCACCCAGAGCCCGCTCCAATCTCTGTGGGAAGACTCCCTGAGTACACGCTTCCTTCATTCTGTTGAGCCCCTACCATGCGTTGGGTACCACACTGGGCCCTGGAGAAGCCACTGGGAATAGGACAGGCACGGTCCATGGGAGGCAGGGAGGGGACCTGCCAGTACTGTGATTGCTCTGGCTGGGGACACAGGGGGGTGGTCAGGTAAAGCTTCCCGGAGGAAGTGAGAGGGAACTAAGACTGAGGATGAGCCTAGGATGGAGTGCCAGGTAAAGAGAGGAGTGCCTCCACCACAGGGAGAGGCTCGGGAAGTAAGAACATTGGGGCAAATCTCTCCTGCTGCACTGACTCCCTCCTTTTATCCTCTGTACCTCTGCTCCCTCTGGTGGGAAAGAAACTCACAGAGGAAGCTTCGCCCTCTATTGCAGTCCATTATCAGTGCCCCACCTCTTCGGCTTCACCAGAAAGACTCGAAGCTTATCTATTTTTTATCCTGATAGATTTTGTTCTCATTTTCCCATAGTGTACAGTGAGGACCCACCCTCTTACTCAGAGCTGTTTCTAGGAAAGCTGGTTTTGTAAAACCACAACAAAATTACTGGATCCATAAGTCTTGATCTATGGAATCCAGGTCCAAGGAATTTGGCCCTGAACCAGCCTGGCCCAGAGATGGGTTTTTTTAGCTCAGTTTGCTCTGCTTGGGCAAAGCAGTGCTCAGGGGCGGGGCCCACTGTGGTCCATCTTACAGCTGCAGGGCCTGAGCCTGGGCTCGTCTGAGCTTGCATGAAAGGCCACTGAGAGGGGTTATGGATAATGAGCGAGGCAGGGCTCCTGAATAAATCATGGAAAAGTGGCTCTGCCTCAGCCTTTTAGAGCCCCAGCACCTAGATAATTTGGCAGGGAGATTTACGGGAGCCCACATCTATTCCACAGCCTGACAGCTCCCCTAGAGAGGAGGCAGCAGGTCTGAGAGGGAGATCAGAGGCCTCAGAAGGCCAGGAGGCAGCCTGGCCACAGAGAGTTTCTGAGAAGTTTCCTAGCCATTCTGGTTCCTACTCTTGAAGGAAAAAGGGGAAGTAGGACAGTGTGTGAAGGTAGGAGGGGTAGGGAACCCTTTTCATGCCTGGTTGAGTCTGGCCCCGGGGTGCAGACAGGAGGATTGAGTGTCTGGCTGCTTCAGGGCCAGAGGTGAAGGGCAGGCAGGAATGTTCAGAGCCCATGTGGGCAGGTTTCTTCTGAGTTCACTAGGGGTCAAAAAAATCATGGGGCTGGCCCCGTGGCTTAGCGGTTAAGTGCGCGCGCTCCGCTACTGGCAGCCCGGGTTCGGATCCCGGGAGCGCAGTGACGCACCACTTGTCCGGCCATGCTGAGCCCGCGTCCCACATACAGCAACTAGCAGGATGTGCAGCTATGACATACAACTATCTACTGCGGCTTTGGGGAGAAAAAGGGGAAAAGAAAAAGGAGGAGGATTGGCAATAGATGTTAGCTCAGGGCCGGTCTTCCTCAGCAAAAAGAGGAGGATTGGCATGGATGTTAGCTCAGGGCTGATCTTCCTCACACACACACAAAAAAAATCAGTTTTTTGCGTGTGCCATCAGTAAAAATGGTGGAGTAAGGACCTCCGAAAATTCTTTCCTCCATAAACCCAATGAGAAAACTAGCAAAAATCGTCAGAATCAGTGCCGGCCTGGTGGCGTAGTGGTTACATTCACATGCTCCACTTCAGTAGCTTGGGGTTAGCAGGTTTGAATCCTGGGCACAGACCAATGTACCACTCATCAAGCCATGCTGTGGTGGCATCCCACATACAAAAAAATAGAGGAAGATGGGCACAGATGTTAGCTCAGGGCCAAGCTTCCTCACCAAAAAAAAAAAAAAAAAATTTAAGTTAAAAAAAAAAGGTCAGAATCAACTTTTTCAGAACTCTGGAAATTAGCCAAAGGCTTGCTCAATCCAGAGAACGTTGATTCAAGAAAAACAGCAGAATCTTGGTGAGAACAGTGAGTTTTGTGGCATTTTGATCTGCCCTAGTTAAGATCTCGCACTCTCCAGTTCCACAGTAGCCTTGAAAAATAACACTTTGCATTCCTGGTGAAGACCAGTAGCCTGGCAGCCACAGGTGGGAGCAGAATGGGGCTGGAGCTCTTTCAAAGTCTCCTGTCCAAAGAACTGTCATTATCTGACCTGTCTGGTGGCTCCCCAGAAGATCCCACTTGCAAGGTTATCTGTATTTGACTTGACTCAGAGCTTGCCCAGTGAAAAAAGTCTTTTTATTGAGGTAATTGTTAAACATAATTATAATTACAGGCAATTGATTAACTTTGCAGCTTCCTAAAGTGGTGGATAACAGGTGGGGCAAACAGTAGGCCAACCAAAAAGCTTAAAAGGAAAAGCTGGAGAACAAGATGCCTATAGGGGCTTTGAAAAGCTCTGACATATTCCTAGGGATCTAGAAGGCCACATGCATGGGGAGGGATGTGTGCATGCCCAAGGCTCTGCACATGCTTAAGAAAGAACTGAGAAGGCCCGAAGCTCTCTCCTCTGGCTGACCTTGAGGCTCTGCACAGAGGTGAAGGCAGAGTGGACAACTGCCTGCCTGAGTGTTGAAGGCATACTCAAACACACACACAGAGGCCTTCAGCAAAGACTGGCAGAGTTATTGGCTCCAGGTGTTTAAGAGAATCTCTGTCCAATCATTAACTGACCACTAAGCTAACCAAGCAGAGACTGTAGTGGTCACACATGACGAAGAATACAGACTTCACAGAATTAGTTCAGAAAATGCACTGAAGGGCCGGCCCCGTGGCTTAGTGGTTAAGTGTGCGCGCTCTGCTGCTGGCGGCCCGGGTTCGGGTCCTGGGCGTGTACTGACGCACCACTTCTCCGGCCATGCTGAGGCCGAGTCCTACATACAGCAACTAGAAGGATGTGCAGCTGTGACATACAACTATCTACTGGGGCTTTGGGGGAAGAGAAGTAAATAAATAAAATTATAAAAAAAAAAAAAAAAAAAAAAAAAAAAAAAAAAAAAAAAAGAAAATGCACTGAAGAAACCAACAATAACTACAAAAAACAGCAATACCTGAGGAGGTATGAGTATCTGGTTTCCAAAGTTACTACATTATATTATACGAGAAGAGCAGTTTTCAACAAAAAGTTACAAGACATACAAAGAAACAAGAAAGTATGGTCCATACACAAGGAAAAAAGCAATAGAGACTGTCCCCAAGGAAACCTAGATGTTGGACTTACTAGACAAAGACTTTAAAATAGCTATTTTAAATAGGTTCAAAGAACTAAAGGAAACCATATCTAAAGAACTAAAGGAAAGTAGGAAAATGATCTCACTAAATAAAGAATATCAATAAGAGGATTGGAATTATTTTAAAAAGGATGAACAAAATAGAAATTCCAGAGTTGAAAAAACACATTAACTGAGATAAAAATTCAGTACAGGGACTCAATAGCATATTTGAGCAGGTAGAAGAATCACTGAATCTGAATGTGTCAATTGAGATTATCCAGTCTGAGAAACAGAAAGAAATGAGAATGAAGAAAAATGAAAAGAGCCTCAGAGATCTGTGGGATACCATCAAACATACCAAGAAACACATGATGGAAGTCCCAGAAGGAGAGGAGAGAGAAAGGAGCAGAAAGAATATTTGAAGAAATAATGGCTGAAAACTTCCCATATTTGATGAAAACCCTTAATATACATATCCAAGAAGCAAAATGAATTCCAAGTAGGATAAGCTCAAAGATACTCCCACCTAAACATATTATAATCAAAGCCAAAGCCAAGGAGAGAATCACGAAAGCAGCAAGGAAAAATGACTCATTACACACAAGGGATCCTCAATAAGAGTGACAGCTGATTTTTCATCAGAAACCATGAAGGCCAGAAGGCAATGGGATGACATATTCAAAATACTGAAAGAAAAAATCTATCCACCAAGAATCCAGTAAAACTATCCTCCAACAATGAAGGAAATTAAGACATTCCTAGATAAACAAAAACTGAGAATTTGTTGCAGGGAGACCTCCCCTACAAGAAATACTAAAGAGAGTCCTTCAGCTGATGCAAAAGGACTCTAGAGAGTAACTCAAACCTACATGAAGAAACAAAGAGCACTAGTACAGATAACTACATAGACAAATAAAAATGTAGTGTAAATGTACTTGTTTTAGTAACATTTTTCCTCCTATCTTATTTAAAAGACAACTGCATAAAGAAATAATTATAAATATGTGCCAATGGGCACACAATGTATAAAGATGTAATTTAAATGAAGATAACAGCCTAATGGAGGGAGGGAGGGAACAGAGCTATATAGGAGCAAAGTTTTTGTATACTACTGAAATTAGTTCATAGTAATCCAAACTAGATTGCTACCAATTAAGATGTTAATTGTAACCCCCAGGGCAACCCCTAAAAATATTACTCAAAAATATTTAATAAAAGAAATGACAAGGGAATTAAAATAGTACACTAGAAAATATCTAACACAAAAGAAGGCAGTTATAGAGGAATAGAGGAACAAAAAAAGATATGAGACACATAGAAAACAAATAGCAAAATAGCAGATGTACATCCTACTTTATCAGTAATTATGTTACATGTAAATGGATTAAACTCTAATTAAAAGGCAAAGAGTGGCAGAATAGATTAAAAGGAAAAAAAAAGCATAATCCATCTATATACTAACTATACGCCATCTACAAGAGACATACTTTAGATTCAAAAACACAAATAAGTTGAAAGTAAAGGTATGGAAAAAGATATACCATGCAAACAGCACCAAAGAGACCTAGAATGCCTATATCAGAGAAGACAGGCTTTGCAACAAAAATTGTTTCTAGAGACAAAGGACATTATATACTGATAAAAGGGTCAATTCATTAGGAAGACAACAATTATAAACATGTATATGCACCTGTTAAGAACTGATGTTTGTGTCCCCCCACAAATTCACATGTTGAATCCTAATCCCCAGTGTGATGGTATTAGGAAGTGGGGACTTTGGGAGGTAATTAGGTCATGAGGGTGGAGCCCTCGAGGATGGATTAGTGCCATTACACTCATATGCTGCATAATGATGTTTCGGTCAATGACGACTGCGTATATGATGGTGGCCCCATAAGATCAGTACCATAGAGACTAGGTGTGTAGTAGGTATACCATCTAGGTTGGTGTAAGTACTCTACAATGTTCCCACAACAAAGAAATCACCTAACAACGCATTTCTCAGAATGTAGCCCCATTGTTAAGCAATGCATGGCTGTATAAGAAGAGCCACGAGAGAGCCTCTGTCCTCTCTCTGCTCTCCACCATGTGAGGATACAGCAAGAAGACAGCTGTCTGCAAACTAGGAAGCAGGCTCTCACCAGGCCCCAGATTTGCTGGTACCTTGATCTTGGACTCCCCAGCCTCCAGAACTGTGAGAAATAAGTGTTTGTTGTTTAAGCCACCCAATCTATGGTATTCTGTTATAGCAGCCTGAACCGACTAAGATAGAACCTAACAACAGAGCCCTAACATATATGAAGCAAAACCTGACAGAATTAAAGAGAAAAGCAGACAATGCAATGATAATAGTTTCCAACTTCAATATCCCACTTTCAATAATGGATAGAACTACTAGGTAGAAGGTCAACAAGGAAATAGTAGATTTAAACAAAATTAAAACCAACTAGTCTTCATAGACATCTATAGAACACACTATCTGAAAAGCAGAATACATTCTTCTCAGGTGCACATGGAACATTCTCCAGGATAGACCACATTTTAGGCCATAAAACAAATCTCAGTAGATTTTAAAAGATTGAAATCATGCAAGGTATCTTTTCTGACCAAAATAGAATAAAACTGGAAATGAATAATTGAAGGAAAACTGGAAAATTCATGAATACATAGAAATTAAACAACATTCTCCTAAATAACCAATGGATCAAAGAAGAAATCAAAAGGGAAATTAAAAAATACTTTGAAACGAACGAACACGAAATCATAACATACCAAAACTTATGAGGTGCAGCCAAAGCAGTGGTTAGAGGGAAATTTATAACTGTAATCACCTATATTTAAAAAAATCTCAAGACAAGAATCTAAACTTCTGCCTTAAGAAGTTAGAAAAAGAAGAGTAATAAAGATTAGAGTGAAACTAAATGAAATAGAGAATAAAAAACAACTGAGAAAATCAAAAGTTGGTTCTTTGAAAATAAAATTGACAAACTTCTAGATAGACAGACCAAGTGAAAAACAAAGACTCAAATTACTAAAACCAGCAAAGAAATAGGAGACATTACTACCAATCTTACAGAAATGAAATGATTATAAGAGAATACTATGAACAATTATATGTCAACAAATCAGATAACCTAGATGAAATGGAAAATTTTCTAGAAAGACACAAACTACCAAAACTGATTCAAGAAGACATATAAAATGTGAAAAGACTTGTAACAAGCAAACAGGTTGAATTACCAATTTTTAAACTTCTAATAAGGAAAACCCCAGAACCAAATGACTTCACTGGTGTATTCTGCTGAACATTTAAAGAACAATCAATACCAACTCTTCACAAACTCTTAGAAAAAACAGAAGAGAGAACACTTCCCATTCATTCTGTAAGGCTGGTATTACACCCATTATCACAGAGGTTATATAGTCAGGACTGCCTCCCCCAAGATGGAGCCCCACAATGGTCTCATCATCCTTTGCCTCTGGCTCCCCTAGCCCAGCTCAGGGTAGGCACATAGTAAACGTTCCTTGACTTTACTTGACCTATAATTTTCTTAACTTTTTATTTTGAATGAATTTTAGACCTACTCAAACTATTACAACTGGAGACACTGCTGAGGTGTCAGCAAAGCCTGACTCACCTGGATGATTGGAATTGGTCATCTGCTGGACGTCCCCACCCTGCTTTGTCCTCCCTGGCAATGCCGGGGACAGCAGCAGGGGCCGGGCTGCCTCAGAGCCCAGGGGGACTTGGGTTGGTCCTGGTTAAGCACCCGGGTCCCCCCTTACCGATCTGCCCGTTGTAGCAGCCTCCCAGGAGCACGTGGGAGTCTTTGGGGTTGTACTCCAAAGTGACAAGAGGAGAAGACGGCTTCAGGGCAATTTCAGGCCTGTTGGGGTTTTCTACAGAGAAAAAGAATACATCCCACTAGGCCTGGAAAGAAAAAGACAGGGCCACACAGTTTAACCCCCTTGACAGGTGGGGTGGCACGGGGAAGCCCAGAAACCTTCTCCAGGCTGCAACCTCTGGTCCCCAGTGGCCAGAATGTAGCCCCAGTGGCTCTTCTAATGGTTTTATTTTTGAGGAATCTGGATTGTGTGTGTGTGTAATTGTAATTCTAGTCCACTTCTCAGGTTTGGTATAAAAAGAGGTTTTGACTCTAAGGTTTTTACATAAAGTCAACTGTCTCCTGACTTCTCCAAACCAGCTTCCTTGTCTGTGTACTGGCGACAATGACGGAGCCCACCCCAGGGGGAGGCTGTAAGAACTCGTTGAGCTGCTCAGGAGTGTAACGTGTTTAGTTCTGCGCTTGGGACCTACACCACACCTACTAATAACGCTAACGTTAATTTTCACAATGACAACAATGAGGGACGTCAGCGAGCCTGAAGCCCACATTGCCAGCTACCTGCCAGGCTTTGCCCTTAGAGTGAGCCCCTCTGTCAGCAATGGTCCGAGCTCCCAGGTGGACTCACTGCCCCTACTGGCCGTGAATTAAGGACAAGCGCCTGGAAAGGGGGCAGACGTGAGTCCCCCCCCGTCCACCGTGGGTCTCTTCTCAGTCTGCGGGGGGCTCCTTCTGATACGCTTCTCAGCAGCCCAGGATTCGGACTCAGGGTCCGGTCTTGAACGCCCTGATCAAGGATCTGGAAATGAAGGGAGTTTTCTGCTTCTGATTTGGCTCCGCTTGGCTGTGCCTGAGCCCCAACAGGGGAGGGATGAGACTATGGCTTCCTCCTGGGTCCCTGGTGCCTCCCTGTGAGTGTCCCCTGCCTGCTGCTTCTACCTTCCTCCCCTGTGCTCTCGCTGGCCTCGGCCCTGCTCCCTCAGCCTTCCCTGACCACCGGGGCCCTGCTTCTCACCCAGGTCCCAGATGTATGATTCGTGGCTCATGCCCTCAGGCGCCCGTTGAAAATCCAAGCAAGAATACGCAACTGCCAACTTTCTGTTACCATCGGGGTGCCAGGACAGGTGCGTGGCTGGTCGCTTGATTTCCTGGGGATCCCTTTAGGGGAGAGCAAGACGGCATAAGACTGGAATGCAAGACCCTCCAAATTTCTGGTTTACTAAATTCTTTCTTAAAAGAATTCAAATATATTTAAGCATTTTTAAATATTCGCTAAGAGAAATTTATTTTAAAAAGAAAGTTTACAAGACTCCCTTAATTGGAAAACCTATCTCACCAGCCACAAATAAAAAGTAATAATAAAAATTAAGACCATGGAAACAAAATATTACAGTCTAGTCTGATGTTTTCATTTGCTGAAAGTTTTGAGCCTGAGGCTTGATTTCTCATTAATACCAAGATGAAAGGGAGGGCAGAGAAACCAGCAATTGTGCTCCTTGGTATTTACCCAAAGGAGTTGAAAACTCATATCCACACAAAAATGTGCATACAGATATTTATAGCAGCTTTATTCATAATTGCCAAAACTTGGAACCAACCAAGATGTTCTTCAGTAGGTGAATGGATAAATTGTGGTCCATCCAGACAATGGAATATTATTCCGTGCTAAAAAGAAATGAGCTATCAAGCTATAAAAAGACATGGTGGGGGCTGGCCTGATGGCGCAAGTGGTTAAGTGCACGCCCTCCGCTTCGGCGGCCCAGGGTTCGCAGGTTCGGATCCCGGGAGCACACCGATGCACCGTTTGTCAAGCCATGCTGTGGCAGCGTCCCATATAAAGTAGAGGAAGATGGGCACAGATGTTAGCTCAGGGCCAATCTTCCTCAAGAAAAAAAAAAGGGGGGGGGAGGAGGATTGGCATTGGATGTCAGCTCAGGGCTAGTCCTCCTCACACACACACAAAAAAAGGACATGGTGGAAACAATGCACATAACTAAGTGAAAGAAGCCCATCTGAAAAAGCTGCATACCGTACAACTCCAATATACGACATTCTGGGAAAGGCAAAACTATGGAGACAGTAAAAAGACAGCTGTTCCCAATGGTTTGGGGAAGGGAGGGATAAATAATGGGAGCACAGGGGTTTTTAGGGCAGTGAAACTACTCTGTATGATACATTTGTCAAAACCCACGGAATGCATGACAAGAGTGAACCCTAATGTAAACTATGGGCTTTGGGTGTGCTCTGGGCTAAATGTTGACATCTCCCCTAAATTCATATGTTCAAACCTAATGTCCAAGGTGACGGTATTAGGAAGTGGGGCCCTTGGGAGGGATTAGGTCATGAGGGTGAAGCCCTCATGAATGGGATTAGTGCCCTTATGAAAGAGGCTCCAGAGAGACCCCTTGCCCCTCATGCCATGTGAGGACACAGTGAGAAGATGGTATCTATGACTTAGGAAGTGGGTCCTCATCAGACACAGAACCGACCATGCTGGCATCTTGGACCTCCAGCCTCCAGAACTGTGAGAAATAAATGTCTGTTGTTTATAAGCCGCCCAGTTCATGGTACTAAGACGGGGTGATAACGATGCGTCAATGTAGGTTCATCATCGATTGTGACAAATTACCACTCTAGGGCAGGATGTTGATAGTGGGGGAGGCACGTGGGAACTTTCTGTACTTTCTTTTTTTTTTAATTTTTATTTATTTATTTTTTTCCCCCAAAGCCCCAGTAGATAGTTGTATGTCATAGCTGCACATCCTTCTAGTTGCTGTATGTGGGACGCGGCCTCAGCATGGCCAGAGAAATGGTGCGTCGGTGCACGCCCAGGATCCGAACCCGGGCCGCCAGCAGCAGAGCACACACACTTAACCGCTAAGCCACGGGGCCGGCCCTGTACTTTCTGATCAATTGTGCTGTGGACCTAAAATTGGTCTAAAAAATAAACTCTAATTTAAAAAAAGAGGCGAGAGGGAGAATGAACAAGAGTTAGAAAGTATTCAAGACTGAACAGCCCGAACTGAGACTTTCTGCTTGAAGTAATCAGAAGGAAGAAAGGAAAGTGGGCAACAAAATCACCTTTTCACCACGTGAGCCATCCACTTCACCCCTCCCTGGGAGCACTATCATAGCAGAAAGAGCACAGGCTGCGATCCAGGAGACCAGAGTGCCATCCCTGGGTGGGTCACCCACCCACTGTGTGCCCTGAGCACATCCCCTGCCTGGGGTCAGTTTCCTCCTCTGTCAAACGTGGAGGTTGGCTGGGGTGATTTCTAATGCACCATCCTGCTCAGATGTCCATGTGCAAGGTCAGACCCCAGCAGGGCTGGGGCAGCAGGGAAGACAGGCCCCACCCCACCCTGGCCCTCTCCTGCACGCTCCTTGCTGGCAGTCATTCCTCGTGCTCTGCATACCACCACTCAGCCCTGGATCAGAAAAGGGTCCTTCCCAGTCTTGCTGGGACTGGGTCAAGCACTTCCAGGACCCTCAGTGGGTCATAGCAGCAAAATGAATCCCCCAGAGTTGGCATTGGAGGCTAGTCACTTCCGAAATCACAGGTATTCTCTGCGTATACAAGCATATACACATACATGCACATATATACATATACATGTTACATATATTCCTGCACATATGCGTATATACACAGGTGTATTTTAAACAAAAGTAATGCTCTCTATACACTGTTCTGCACCTCGTTTGTTTTAGTTTGGTTTCACACAGTAAATATTAGAAACACTCCATACTGGCACATAAGGAGCCGCCTCCTTCATTTTGATAGCCGCGTGGTATTCCACTGTGCAGGGATACCAGAATTGCTAGAACCAGTCCCCTACCAATGGAGTTAGTTTGCTTCCAACCTTTGGCTAGCACACACCTTGCTGCAGTGAATATCCACGCACACAGTGATTTCACACACATGGACCTGTACGATAAATTCCTGTTGTCAAACTGCTGCCCTTGGAGGTTATTATTAGGCACACTCCGAGACTGTGGGACGAGGGTCCTGTTTGCCCACAGGGCTGCAGATCACTGATGCCCAGTACTTTGTCTTACTCTATATGGCATGAATTGACCCTACTAGTACACAGCTTTGCAAATTCACTTAGTCTTTCCCTGGAGTCTGTCCTCCCTTTCCATCAACCAGACCTGTCCCCAGGGGAGGGACCACTTGGCTGCTGGGCGCTTTATTGCTCTGTCCCTTATCAAGCTCAGAGCACAGAGGGCATTGTACCCACGCATGGAGTGATCGGCAAGGAGTCACCTTTGGAAGCACCCGCCCACAGGGGTGACAGAGACTGGCCAGACACCTGCCTAGCTATAGAGATACCTGAAAACATTGATGGTTTTAGCTGAAGGGGCCTCTTCTGTCACCTCCACTGCATCCTCGTCATCAAAATACTCCTGGTAGATGTCAATGGCATTATTCTGCTTGATGCAGTGCTCCATGATCTGAGGAGGACACATCGGGAGTTCTTATCAGTGAAGGGGGGTCCTTTCAACCTGACCAGGGCTGAGATGGAGTCCGGGAGGGACAAGAACTATCTAGTGGTCTTTCCCATCCTTCCAGCCCATACATTTTCAAAGGGGGTAACATCACCCCCAAAGGGGTGAAAATTGGTTCTGGGGGGTAAAATAACACTACTTTTTACGTACAAAGCACAGATACACATACAGTACGTAAACAATATATAGTACCCCTGTGATGTTAAAATTTCATGGGGGGAGGCAATTAGGAAAAAAATGTCTAAAAAGGCTCATTGAGGGACAACAATGAAAAAAAGGTGAAGAAACATTGCTCTAGCCAAACAGAAGTATTCATCACTCCATTCACAGCACTCCATCTCCTGGTTCCTCCACCCAGAGGCCCTCCCCATTACTCCCAAATGTCCAGCAAGGAAAAGCCCAAGCTCAAGTACCACCTCTTCCAGGCAGCCTTCCTGAATCCCTTCAGCAGGAAATCGACTCTCCCTCCTTATGGGGCATAATGGCAAGACGTCCCTTCTCTTATAGCATTTCTTTCTACGTTATATGGTGACATTTTTGTATTTGTCTTTCACATCCGGTGGACTATAAACTATCTGGGGTAGGATATATGTGAATTTCATTTTTGTGATCTCTACTGTGCCTGGCAGAGACTAGAAGCTCAGTCTGAATGTGTCGAATGATCCCTATTGGCAGGTAGCAGCTGTGTGGGGTTCTTCGGGGTTCTCTTTGGCCAAAGGGTTTCCCACTTTTCAAACTCCTCCTAAAGCCTGTTCAACCCTTGGACCTCCCCGCCCTCCCCTTTGGTAGGCTGTGGTGGACATGTCTGCCTGCTCCCAGACAGAAGGTTCCTTAAGGAAGCCGGTGCTCTTCCCTGGAGTAGCCACAGGAGCTGAGCAAAGGGATCTAGGGCTTGCCATGCAGTTGGGGACCAGAGTGACGGCTGGGGCTCTGTCCGCTGGACTGAAGGGAGCCTTACCGAGCCTAGCTGCATGATGGCATTGATGTAGTTCTCATCTTTCTCCACCTTCTTCCGGAAGCGGATCGTCTGCTCCAGCTCCAGGGGGTTCACATCCTTGGGCCAGCCCCCCTCGACGTGGTTAACCCCCCGGGTCTCCATTTCGAATCTCTCTGTGTTGGCCTAAACAGAGAGCCCCAGGGGAGAAGATGCCCATCCTGGTGTAAGCATTCGGCCACATCTGTGAGCCAGGATCCTGGGGCTCCCTGGCCCCTGGGCCCTGAGCGCTCAGGGATGGACCGATGAGGTGTCCCCGGACAAAGCCACAATATTTTCAGGTATCTGCAAGGAACTTTCTGGTCCTCAGGTGGTCACAGGCAGCCACGAAAGTGCCACCTGTGGAGCTAGCAGCTTTGCAGCTGATGCTAGTGGCTGTGGAAAATCCAGTTCTGACCTCATCTGAACCCTAACAGACCAGAGGAGCCAACTCATCTGTTCTGCAGATCCCAAAGAAAAAAGCAAATAATCCTTCTCCACCCAACCTCTTACAGTGACACAGGAATCGAACCATAGAAACAATTAAGAGTTTGGGTTTGCTTTGCCTATTCTCTGCCATAGGGAGGACGGTGTAGGTGCATTTTTACTCCTTCAACTTGCACTTTGCCTTCTTTCCCATTTTTTCCCATTTTTTAAATTGTGGCAAAATACACATAACATAAATTTTACCATTTAAATCATTTTAAAATGTACAGTTCAGTGGCATTAAGGACATTCACAATGTTGTGCAATCATCTCCACTCTCTAGTTCCAGAACTTTTCATCACCCCAGTGGAGACCCCATTCCCACTAATCAGCCACTCCCCTTCCCCTCTCCATTTGTAAGCCAGCCCTCACAGGAGTGAGAAGCCTTGACAGGGTGGAGCTGCTGATGGGAGGCCCTGACGTGAGGCAGCCTTCATGACAGCCATCTTGTTTAGTTGGCTACCCCGTGGACAAAATTGCCCTGGTCCCCGGGACAGCAATTAGCCCTGAGAAAGCAAGAAACTCAGTTCATCTGAACTGTAAGTTATTGGAACCACCCACAAAATGTTTTGGTCAAATCAAATGTGATTTCCACTCAGTTGATCTGGGACGTGATAATGGCTTATCTCCTGCAATCTGATTTTCTCTCAGCAGTTCCTGACATAACCAGGAGCCGATCACCTGGTTCAGACACACAGGGAACTCTCTGGGAGTTTGAGCAGCAACCTGACCCTCATTTCCCTTATCTTGAAGGCCCCTCTGACCAGAACTTTCTATGGGACCCTTTTCTTTTCACAAGCTGGGCAGTTGCCCGTAGACACGAATCCCTGCTCCCTCAGAATACCTCTCCCAGCTGCACCGAACGCCCCAAAAGGCTCTAGTAGGAGTCTTAGAGGTGAGGTGAGAAGAGAGAGAGCATCTTGACTGACATTCTCCTGGCCCAGGGAATGCTTGGTGCCAGGTCTTCTCCAGACCCTGGGCACCATGGTGGGTCTTGGGGCGATTCCGCCCTCACACTCCCAGCATCCGCATTGGTCCACTCTAGCTGGCTTCCAGGTGGATGGGACACCCAGTCTCACTTACCTGCCCAACCAGCCACCCCGCTGGACCACACCTTCACTGACCCAGGCGCTGGGGCGGGGACCCACCTCGTGTTCCGACATGCTGGTGGAGCACTGGATGCCCGTGTCCACGGGGTTCCGCTCCACAAACTGCTCGGCCAGCTCCGGGTTGGGCGGGATGTCGATGTTCAGCTCTGCCTGGCGGTCCGAGAAGTTGCATTGCTTCCCGAACTCACTGCGTTTCTTGACATACACGTACACGATCTCCATGGTGCCGGCTGCTGCAGGGGCAGAGTGAGGGGGTGCGGTGAGGGGCCCCACCTGGCTGCTTCCTGGGCCCCACGGGCCTCACCAGGGCGGCTCCAGGTTCCCAATCTGGTTAGGGGGAGGGGTCCTAGAGGATTTGTCCAGAAACTGCTTCTGCATTTAAAAAAATTGTTTATTGAGTAATGACATGCTAAGCATTGTCTTCTTTGGTTCTTGCAATTGCCCTCTGAGGTGGACAATAAAACTGCCATTTACTTTGGAGGAATCTGATGCTCAGAGATAGCCTGTGTGCCCAGAATCACATAGCTAATAAGTGGTTCAGCTGGTCTGCCTGACTCCAAAGCTCTTACTCACCAATGATACAGTTTTTACTGAGCTAATATGTTTATTGGGAGGCAGGAGGAAATATTGATGGCGATTATGTTGGACTAAATTCACTGCCATGCACTGAATCTGATCACAGTACACAGATTTGAGAGCCCCAGGCCCCCGTGGAAACTCTCTCACTCAACCATCTGATTGTCCAAAAGGCTCACCCATTTCCAGAGTTCTAGGTTACCGGACTCCACCCTCCACCACTCTCTGGGGCCCCGCTGGAACCTCTTCCCTCCACATCACTCCACCCAGGACGGGGCTGGGAGTCCACCTGAGAAGGGGAGAAAGCCAGACCACTTCCTCGACAGGCAGAGCAGTTAGGCCTTTGGGAAACCCTCCAATCTGTGCTCCTGGTCATGAAAGGCAAAGTGGGGAACTGAAAGCACGCTGGGCTGGGTGCTGACCTCAAGTTCTGGCCCTGCCACTCACCAGCTGCTTGCCCTTGGCTGGGCCACTCAGTCATTTCAAGACCTGACACGCTCAGGACGCTGAGAAGGTGAAAGGCAAGTGCTCCCGCAGCAGCAGAGCCAGGGTTCAAATGCAACACGAGAGAGTGTTTTCTCACTGATGCTAATTGGAAGTCTTACAAATGTAATGCGCAGTCTGCACAAATTGCTCTTCACTCACCCCAAAAGCGACCTTGACCCCTCTGACCTTCTGTCACATCAATAGACACTATGGGATTTGAGTGCTGCTCAGTGGCTTAAATGGCTGCCATCTGATGGGGTCTGTCTATAATATTATACTATGCAGTCTAGTAGAGCTATCCGTTGGCTGGCCACTCCTCACTCTCAGGTGTGCCTGTGACGGCAAGCTCCCAAGGGCTCAGACTGTGGGTCTGTAAGGCTCCAGGGCCTGCATGGAGCCCTAGGAAAAAAGCTGCTGGGTGTATGGCTGGGGGTGGTGTGGGAAGATAACTGTGCAAGAGCTTTACCGCAGTAGGATGCACAACTGAAGGCCTTTCAACACCCACGACTTCAGGTTCTTACCTGAGACCAGGTGCCACTATCTGTGAACGAAAAGGGGACCTGGTGGGAAAACTTTTGGAGGCTGTGGCCCCTGCTTTAAGTAAAACCACAGACAAATACCAAACTTAGGAAACGGATGAAAAAATGCAATGGAAATGCGAGATGAGTGATTCACTTTACCAAGCAACTTTGTACTGGAGGTTTTGCTCAAGAATGCCCTCTGGGGCACCCCAAATTATTCTTTTTTTTTTCTTTTTTAAATCTAATTACATAGACTTTTCTAGGCGTGCACAAGTTTTTTTGTGTGTGTGTGTGGAAGATTAGCCCTGAGCTAACATCCATTGCCAATCTTCCTCTTTTTGCTGAGGAAGACTGGCCCTGGGCTAACATCCGTGCCCATCTTCCTCTACTTTATATGGGACACCGCCACAGCATGGCTTGATAAGTGGTGCATAGGTCCGCGCCTGGGATCCAAACCCATGAACCCTGGGCCGCTGAAGCGGAGCGCATAAACTTAACCATTACGCCACCGGGCCGGCCCTGGAATGCACAGGTTTTATGAACACCAAACTGCATGCTTTATAAATTTGTTCTGATTATAGTTTCCATTATTTCATTTACTTATTCAGCAAACATTTATTAAAACCATGAATAATCAAGACAGTGTGGTACTGGCATAAAGATAGGCATATAGGTCAATGAATGGAAGTGAGAGCTCAGAAATAAACCTTTATATTTCTGGTCAATTGCTTTTCAATAAAGGTACTAAGGCAGCTCAATGGGGAAAGGATGGTCTTTTTAACAAATGGTGCTGGGACAACTGGACATTCACATGCAAAAGAATGACCACAGACCCCTACCTCACACTATACACAAAAATTAAACTCAAAATGGAGCACAGGCATAAATGTAAGAGCTAAAACTATAAAACTTAGCGGGAAGAACATAGAGGGAAACCTTTGTGACCCTGATTAGGCAAACATTTCTTAGATATGGCATCAAAATCACGGTCCATAAAAGAAAAGAAATGATAAATTGGACTTCATTCGAATCCAAAAACTTTTGTACTTCAAAACATTAGAATTAAAAAACGTTTGCGCTTCAGAAGACATTAAGAAACATTAAGAAAATGAAAAGATAAGCCACAGACTTGGAGAAAATATTTGCAAATCAGATCTCTGTGAAAGAAATTGTAGTTAGAATATATAAAGACCTACCGGGTCCAGGGTGCTGTGCCTGGCAGTTTACAGGCACTCTCACTGCATGCCTGCTACAACCCCCAGAACACTTACCACAATTCCCATTCTACAGATGAAGAAACTGATGCCCAGGGAGATGAAGTAGGTCAAAGGTCATAGTTCCTAAATCCAGGCAGAGCCAGGACCCAGACACGTCTGGCTCTAAAGCAGTGACTCTTAACCTTGGCTATTCATTTAGCAACATCTGGAGGGCTTCATCAAAATCTCATGCTCAGGTTGAACTGCAGACTAACTAAATCAGAATCTCAGCAGTATTTTTTAAAACTCCCCAGGTGATTCCAGCATGCAGCCGACGTTGAGAACCACCAGTCTAAAGTGAGGGCTCTTAGTCTCTCAACCAGTGTTTCTCAAACTTAGGACGTTCATACAAAATATAGAGACTCCCAGGCTGCCTCCTGTGAATGCTGAGCTCTATGTCCGGGGTGGAGCCTAGCAATTTGTGCTTTTCACAATTACCCAAGATGAATATTAGGACCAGACATGTGTCTGATCCACCTTCCCCCACCTCCAGGGCTGCAAGGAACCAGACCAGTGGGCCCTGGCTGCTGACCCCTGAGATGCAGGGCCAAGAGCCGTATGACAGCCTAGAGGTATGTACCTGAGGTGGCCATGGGCCCTGGAGCAGCTGGGGCAGGGGGTGAGGGGGATGAAGTGGGAGATTTAACTCCTAGGTCCCTTTGCATCCACATACATTGTTCCTTGAAGACAGCACCACCCCATCCTACTCCCAGCCCCAGAACATCTCCACCTGAACCAGACTCTTGCAGAAAGCAAGAGTGGTGAGGAAACATTCTTCTACCTAGGAAGGGTAGAAGCAATGGCTTGGAGGGCAGAGGGTGGGGACAGAAGCACAAATTGCAGCAGGTGGCCCTAATGTGTTTATTCTACATGGACAAGGATACGGCCTTGTGAAAAAGGATGCACATTCAATTAAATTTTCCCCCTCTGCAGCACATTTTTGAGGTACAATGGGGCTGCACCTGCCCTCTACCCCCCCCACCCCAGGACTGCCAGACTCAGGCAATTAGGGGCCGCCTGTCTCTCCTTCTGCTAAAAGACAATTGCTGTGAGACAGCCGGCTCCTAGGGGACACAAGGAGGCTTAAGAGCATGAGGAAACTCCAGGAAGACAAAAATAGTCTCTTTAGCCCAGATCATATTTTTAACAGCTTCACTTCCCTTCTTGGTGCTTCCCAAGGCCAGCCAGGAGCGAGAACAGAGGCATTGTGTGCCATCTGGAGGCAGACAGAGGGGACATTTAAAGGCTGGCCCGGTGATGGGAAGACAGCTCATTCAAGGACCCAGAGCGGGCTCCTTCTCAAGAGCTGGCAGGGCCCGAAGATGAATGGTGAGGTCAGAGCAGGGGTCTCAGGAGGTCTCTCCCTGCTCTGGTGAGAAAAGTACCACAGGCCGGGCTTCCCAGGCAGTGCTGCCTGCAGAGGGGGCTTCGGAGCGAGGCAGGAGCAGAACTGCTGCCCTCCAGGGGTTTTGGGGAGGAGATCGCCCACCTATGGGAACCTAGAGACCCAGAGTTTGCATTCGAAACTCTGCCATGAGTCTCAAACACAAGAACACACAGAAACAGAGACATGCTGGTCCACACACCAAAACCGCAGCGTCTCCTGCTTCGTGGGGCAGTCAGATGGGAGCCTTCACCAACCATAAAAACAAAACTCCTTTTGTGCAATGATAATGAGCAAAGTAATTCCTGGAAAGAACCTACCACGGCTTAAGAGAAAGTGTGTTTTCCAAGCTAGGAGTGAGGCAAGGGAGTGGTAGGAACGAGGAACGCAGTGTGGGATCTTAGCAGGGAGGCAAGCGGAGGGTGGTCGCCTTCCCTCCGCAAGGGACTCCACGGTGGTATAAAGACGAGAACAGTTTCCTCTTCCTCATGTCCCTGGGGCAGCCCCCAGTCTTTGTGCCAGGGACTGATGGGCTCTATGTGGCATCTGACAGGGGAAGAGTTTCCTTCCCTCTTTCTGTAATTTGAGAGGAGAAAACCCTGGGAGAAAGCTGGGAGAAGAACGCACTTCTGTGGTTCAAAAGAATGTGATAAACTTTGAACTTGTGGGAAGGAGGAACCAACCGTGTGACCTTGAGCATGATATAATGGGCACGAGAATGCCCACTCCAGGGTTGAGGAATATACGAAATGACGCCTTAGAGGACCTGACGGAGCAGGTGCTCAATCACTATTGATCCCCCTCCCTCCATTCTTATCAGAAAGCTATCTCTGCTCGGGCCTATCCTCCCACCACCCCAGCCCAGGCTGTATTTTCCATCCATTCAGCTGTAAATTCTTTAAAGGTCTCCCACCGCTGCCTCCAGGAGACAGATCATTATCAGGAACCGACTGCTTGGGAGTAGGGGGTGCAGGAGGCAAGGTGTTTAGAACTTGCAGGCTCCTGTGCCTCGGGGGGTACTGAGAGCAGGGAGGACTAACAGGGGACACTCTGAGCGCTAGTGCCGGCACCCACCATCTGGCAGAGCTATCCCAGAAGGACGCCCCCACGAGGGAAGTCTTGCACTATCGGTGATCATGACCCTCGGGGGCTCGCCCCTTCACTCTCACTCTCCTTTTCAGCCGCGGACGCCCTCCCCTCGCCCGCCCTTACCCTCGATCCGCTCCTCCTGCCGCTGGGTCTCTGGGGACGCGCCCAAGCCCCGGTTGCCGGCCCTAGCGCTTCCCAAACGGCTGGGAGCCGCGCGGTTTACCCGTTGCCTAGCAACCCTGGCCGGGCCCGGGACGCGAGGCTGCGCGGGAGGCGAGGGAGCACGTGACCTCCCCGTCCTGCCACGTCGGAAGCGCCGCCCGTCCCTTCTCCCTCTTCTGGAGGACTCTGGAGTTAGGAGAAAAATTAACCAAGAAGTTAGTCCAACAGCGGCCATGCTAAACGTTTGTAGGGGCTTTGTCAAGGCGCTTATCTAAGTCTACAAATATGCATTGGGCAAGATCCTGAGAAAATGGAAATTGTGGTCAGCGCCTCGGAAGTCCTGCGCCCTGGGGGGTGATGCTGTTTATTTACTTATGATCTGGCAGGTCGTTTTACCAATCCTTCCTGCACTAAATGGGAATCATAACCGCCAGCCTCCCCTTTGCTACTATATCCCCTGCACATTGTATGGTAACCCTAAATTTGACCACATCATCGGATTGGGAACTCCTGGGGAGGAGGGGCTGGGTGTTTCCACAGCTTAGCTCGTGGTTGGCACATTGTAAGCATGTATTAACTGTTGGTTGAATGAATGAATGAATGAACTGAAATTTCTCGTGGGCTTAAGACAATGAAGTGAGATAATGTACACTAAAAGAAGGGGATTTGGGGCTTGAAGCTGTGAGTTTGAACCCCAACTTGGCCAGTTACTAATAGCATGACCTTGGGCAAGTTACTTTCCTTTTCTAAGACTCAGCCTTCCTCATCTGCAAAATGTCTGGACAATGGCAGTACTTGGGATAATTGGGAGGATCAACTGAGATGACACGGCAGAGTGCCCACCCCCGTGCTGGTGGCAGAGTCGGGAACTGAACGAAGGCCAGCTCTGTCCTTCCCACGGCAGGGAGTCAGGCTAACCCAAGTTCAGGGATGGGGGCTGGAGACTTGGACTGGGCCAGACAAGGGATGCGTCATCTAAGAAGTAGGATTTGGGTTTGGAACTGAGCCTTGAAAAATGGTTATGAGTTGCAAGGGGAAGGAGTGGGGAGAGCATTCCAGATTGGAGGGGAGGGCATAGTGAGAGCAAGGGAGGGGCAGTTGTCATGGAAGAAAGGCATTTTGGGGGATGATTGGTGCATCATTGAGGCTGGAGTTGACAGTCCCTGCAGGGAGAAAATGAGAGAGGAATTTGCAAAGAGCAGCTGGGGCCAGTTTGCAGGGGGTCCCTAGAAGCAGGCTAAGGCACCTGCATGGCTTCCAGGGGGTTTTGAAAGTACAGGAAGAATGCAAACGTTCCCCCCTCTGGCTTCCCAACTTCTCCATAAGTGAGTCTTTACCACTACCCACCTGCCTTTAACTGGGCAAGTGCAACAAAATTCCCAATGAGGTGGCAACTTGCCCAACCACACTACCCAAAGGCAAGCCCATAAGTGACGGCACCACCAACTCCCGGCCAACTCTGCTCCCGTTCCCACCAGCGTCTCTGAGCAAAGGGCTCCCTAGGCGTGGACGCTGAGGGAGGTGATGGGGGCTGGGTGGAGGAGCGTCTGAAAGCCCCACGGAACCAGCTTTGTGTGGTTTGAGGTGAATTAGACCCAGACAAAGCGTCCAGAAGCAAGAAACAGATCGGTTTCACCGTGGAGCATGGGCCGGTTGGGACTGCAATCATAGACGCCCTCCTCACCCCATGCCCAGCACTGGGAAGCGAGGCTCTCTGCACACACATCATTCCCTGGGTGGGGAAGTCGGGGGGGAGCGGGTAGAAAGAAGAGGAAAGTGGGAAAAGTTGGAAGGAAAACGGCAGCCACCTTTCTCATATTATCGCAATGATTTATCACAGGCTCCCCACCTCCACCCTCACTCAGAAGGCCTGCACGCTGCCAACCGCCGACGGCGGCTTTGTTCACTGGTGAAACAGTCATCACCCCTTGGCAGGCCCGACTCAGCTGCCCTGGGAAGCCAGTAGAAGCCAGTATGAGGTCATATAATTAGGAGCATACACAGGGATCCAGTTAAAAAACAGTTGCGGTGTCTCTCACATCTCCGCCCAGTCACAGCGGAACTGAACTTCTTGGCTGAGAGCAGCCCAGGCCCTGGACATGCCCCAGGCCAGTCCACAACCCATTGCTCTGATGTCCCCCCTTTTCTGTTTCCATTTTGTTTTTATTGTGGTAAAATATGAATAACACAAAATTTACCACCTTCACCATGTTTAAGTGTACAGTTCCGTGGTATTAAGTACATTCATCTTGTTGTGCAACCATCACCACCATCCATCTCCAGAACTCTTTTCATCTTGCAAAACTGAAACTCCATACCCGTTAGATAAGAACTCCCCATTCTCCCCTCCCCCAGCTCCTAGCAACCACAATCCTACTTTCTGTCTCTGTGATTTTGACTACTCTAGGTGCCTCATGTAAATGGAATCACAGTATTTGTTTTTGTGATGGCTTATTTCACTCAGCATAATGTCTTCAAGATTCATCCGTATTGCAGCATGTGTCAGAATTTTCTTCCTTTTTAAGACTGAATAATATTCCATTGTATGTCTACACTACATTTTGTTTATCCATTCATCCATTGATGGATATTTGGGTTGCTTCCATGTTTGACTATTGTGAATAATGCTGCAATGAGCATGAGTATACAAATATTTCTTTGAGACTCTGCTTTCAATTTTTGGGGAGAAGTGGAATTGCTGGATCATATGGTAATTCTGTTTACTTAATAGAATTTATTAATTTTTAATTTTTTGAAGAACCATCATGTTGTTTTCCACAGCAGCCATACCATTTTACATTCCCACCAACAGTGCACAAGGGTTCTAATTTCTCCACATCCTTGCCAACGCTTGTTATTTTTTGATAGTAGCCATCCTAATGGATGTGAGGTGGTATCTCATTGTAGTTTTGATTCGCATTTATCCAATGATTAGTGATGTTGAGCATATTTTCATGGGCTTATTGGCATTTGTATATCCTCTTTGGAGCACTATCTACTCAAGTCCTTGGCCCATTTTTGAATCAGGTTTTTTTGTTGTTGTTGAGTCCTCTATATATTCTGGATATTAATCCTTTATCAGATACATGATTTGCAAATATTGTCTCCCATTCTGTGGGTTGCCTTTTTACTCTGTTGATGGTGTCTTTTGATGCACAAATTTTTAAAATTTTCATGAAGTCCAATTTGTTTATTTTTTCTACTGTTGCCTGTGCCTTTGGTGTCGTGTCCAGGAAGTCATTGTCAAATCCAATGTTGTGAAGTTTTTGCCCTATGTTTTATTCTAAGAGTTTTATAGTTTTAAATTTTAAAAGTTTTTAACTTTTTAAGTCTTTGATCCATTTTGAGGTAGTTTTTTATATCGTGTGAGGTAAGGTTCCAACTTCATTCTTTTGCATGTGGGTATCCAGTTTTCCCAGCACCATTTGTTGAAAAGATTGCCCTTTGCCCATTGAATGATCTTGGGCCCCTTGTTGAAAATCATTTGACTGTATATGCAGGGGTTTATTTCTGGACTCTTTTCTATTCCATTGGTCTATATATCTGACTTTATGCCAGTACCCCTCTCCTTTGATTACTGTAGCTTTGTAGTAACTTTTGAAATCAGGAAGCATGAGTCCTCCAGCTTTGTTCTTCTTTTTCAGTATTGTTTTGGTTATTTAGGGTCCTTGAGATTCCATATGAATTTTAGGATGGGTTTTTCTATTTCTGAAAAAAGTGTTGGAATTTTGAAAGAGATTGCATTGAATCTGTAGATCACTTTGGGTAGTATTTTCATCTTAACAATTGCAAGTCTTCCAATGCATGAACATGGGATGTCTTTCCATTTATTTATGTCTTCTTTAATTTCTTTCAGCAATGTTTTGTAGTTTTCATTGTACAAGTCTTTCATTTCCTTGGTTAAATCCTAAGTATTTTACTTTTTTTTTTCCTGAGGAAGAGTAGCCTGAACTAACATCTGTTGCCAATCTTCCTCATTTTTGCTTGAGGAAGATTAGCCCTGAGCTAATGTCTATGCCAGTCTCCCTCTACTTTGTATATGGCTTGCTGCCACAGCTTGGCTGACAAGTGGTGTAGGTCTGTGCCTGGGATCCAAACTCATGAACCTGGGCTGCCGAAGTGGAGCACGCCGAACTTAACCACTATTCCATGGGCCTGGCCCCAGTATTTTACTTTTTTGATACTGTTATAAATAGAATTATTTTTTAAATTTCCCTTTCAGATTGTTGTTAGTGTACAGAAATACAACTGATTTTTGTGTGTTGACTTTTATCCAGCTACTTTGCTGACTTTGTTTATTAGTTCTAACAATTTTTTGGTGGAATGTTTAGAGTTTTCCACATATAAAATCATATCATCTAGAGGCTGGCCTGGTGGCGTAGTGGTTAAGTTTGCACGCTCTGCTTTGGTGGCCCGGGGTTCACGGGTTCAGATCCCAGGTGCAGACCTACACATTGCTCATCAAGCCATGCTGTGGTGGTGTCCCACATACAAAAAAAAAAAATGGAGGAAGACTGGCACAGATGTTAGCTCAGGGCAAATCATCCTCAAGCAAATAGAGGAAGATTGGCAAGAGATGTTAGCTCAGGGCCAATCTTCCTAACCAAAAAAAAAAAAAATTCATATCATCTGTGAACAGAGATAATTTTACTTCTTCCTTTCCAATTTTGATAGCTTTTATTTATTTTTCTTGCCTAATTGCTCTGGCTGGGACTTCCAGTACTACGTTGAATAGAAGTGGTGAAAGTGAGCATCCTTGCTGCCTCTCCTTTTTAAAAATAAACTTTTTGTTTTAGATTTATAAAAAAGTTGTAAAGATAGTACAAAGATTTCCCATATAGCCCTGCTGTGGTTGGAATGTTTATGTCATTTCCAAATTCATATGTTGAAATACTGATGCCCAATGTGATGTATTAGGAGGTGGGGGCTTTGGGAGGTAATTAGGACAGGAGGGTGGAGCCCTCATGAATGGGTTAGTGTTTTTTGTTTTTTTTTTTAAAGATTTTATTTATTTATTTATTTTCCCCCCAAAGCCCCAGTAGATAGTTGTATGTCATAGCTGCACATCCTTCTAGTTGCTGTATGCGGGACGCTGCCTCAGCATGGCCAGAGAAGTGGTGCCTCGGTGCGCGCCCGGGATCCGAACCCCGGTCGCAAGCAGCGGAGCACGCGCACTTAACCGCTAAGCCATGGGGCCGGCTCCTGGGATTAGTGTTTTTATAAGACAGACCCCACAGAGCTCCCTAGCCCCTTCCACCCTATGAGAACACAGAGAAAAGGTGCTGTCTATCAACCAGGATGCCTTCCTCGCCTATTTGTAAACTCCATGAAGTCAAAGACCACAATTGACTTAGCTGCTTCCATAGTCCCAGAATTGAGAGGAGCTGACATGCTAGGCCAGGGCCAGCAAACTGTAAACTACTGTAAAAGATAGTAAATATTTTAGGGTGTGAGTTAAGAGGCGAAGTCAAAGATATGTTGTAGATACTTATATGACAAGAGAGAAAACCAATTCCCACACATTTTTGATTAATGAAATTCAAAATATTATATTCATTGAGTATAATTTTTTTTTGTAATACAGGTCTATTAATGAGAAGAATGGAATTCTTTGGGGAGGAGATAACATTTTGCTTAATTGAGCTTCAAAGTCAGTGTTCTCTACCATCAAAATCAGTTGCAAATATTTGATTTTTTTAAAGCCATTAAAAAATGTAAAAACTATTCTTTACTCATAAGCCGTACAAGGCAGCAGTTCAGGCTGGGCTCACAGGCTGTAGTTTGCTGGCCCCTGTGCTAAGCAGTCAATACATTTTTAGTTAAATGAGTGAAAGAGAGAAGAAAGGAAGGTAAATTCTCCTGATCTGGGTGGGTATATCTGGCAATGAGCATGCCAGGCCTCTTGAGTGTTGTTACATCAGCAGTTTACAAGTCAAGAGGCTGTGAGATCATCCTTGGTACTTTGAACTACAAGACCGAGCAGCTTTGAAGGAGGGAAAATATAGAGCATGGCTCTGGATGACTGGAGATGAAGACGAACGAGCTTTGGAGAAGGGCCCATGCTGTTGGCCGCTCCACATGTATAAGTGAGCCCTGAATGACAGACTCAGACACATGCCTCTGCCTGGCAAGGCTCCGCTTACAGAGGGGCCGGATGGAGTTCATTACTCTTTCTCTCCAGGAGCAGGTTCCTGGGTCTGGCATCAGCTGCTGTTCAGAGATGTTTGGGGCTGGTAAGGCTGAGCAGGCAGGCTGGCAGGTGAAAGAGTGGCATGCTTGGCTGGGAGGCTACCCACCCCACCCCTTTCCCGTGGGTGAGAGACTGGTGCTGGCCGAGATAGGAAAGCGGGTGGCACACGTGGTGATGGAAACCACCTCTGAGCTTGTGCACTCCCACATGGCCTCCTTCGTGCAGGGCCTGCCTACAGCTCAGGTCTCCCTGCAGACCCAGAGAAAATGAAAGCCCCCAAAGCAAATTTTACTTGGGTATTAAGCTGCATTTACCTTAAAAAAATCAGATTAGTTATAGAAAAGAGTTTCCCCATTGCTCCAAGCCTTTCCCCCTCAGTATCCTGAGACAGGGGAGAAAGGAGGCCATTCTGTGAATGGGGAGGGCAAACCTTTCCACTCAAAGGAGCCCTAGTTGTGATGCTCAGCTCTGAGGGATGTGCAGCTCGGAACCTGGCATGTTCCACTGCACTGAACCCTCTGCATCTCACCTCAAATGCTCCCCAAAGATGCACAAGCTGCTCCCTTCAGGAAGCTCCTTGAAACGCATTCAGTTCCAGGAGCCGAGCTGCTGCACAGAAGAGTAAACAGTAGCTTAGGCCCTGGGCAAAGCTGGAGTCTGCCCTTCCAGGACGCCCCACACTGGCTCGGCTGTTCACCAGACACATGAGATGCTGCAAAGAAAGCATGAAGGGCGCTGTGCATCTCAGGTAGCCCTGCCTGGAGAGGCGCCGAGTTTAGGAAGAGAGTGCAGCAAGGACCTGCTGCAAAGCTGGGGGAGGCATGCGGCTTCGCATGCCTCACCCCGGAGAGGCGGCCTGCTGTGTGACCACCGCTCCAAGCCCAGAGCATCACATAGAGGCACCCGGCTTGGGCTCTGGGTTACACTCCGGGCTCTGCCACTCGCTCCAACCAAGTCCTTACTCTCTCTGCACCTCTGTTGGCTTATTTGCAAAACAAATGACCTCATAGGGTTATTGTGAGTCTTAACATGAAGAGCAATGGCCCTTAGGAGAAAGGCTGGGGCAGAAATAAGACCTGTCCTTGGTCCTGAGTAGTAGAAGCCACGTGAGAGGCCCCGTGACATTCATTCAATAGCCCATATTTCAATCCTTGCACTGAAATCTGCTTTGAAGACCCCCCACCCCATAACCCAGCCAGAAGGGACCGTTCAGTCCCCTCCTTATTCCCACAGCTGAGGAAGTTAGAGACTGAGTGCACATTTTAGTACAAGTGGTTTATTTCTCCCCCAGGTGAGGGTGCACATGGATCAAGCAGAGATGTGCCCACCTGGCTCCTTCAGGAACCACCCAAGGGATTCTGGTTTAGTTTACATGCAATTAAAAACAACTCTCTAGTTGCCAACAAAGAACGTTAAGAAGCAACACCTTGACGTCACAGAGTAGCTATCTGCACGCGATGTGGCCATCGAAGGTGTGTTTATGGTACACGATATGTACAGGTTAATGCAGGTGAGACAGAGTCCTGGCTGCCCTGTAGCCCCGTTCTATCGCAGAGGCTTGGCTGGGGGCTGAGAACCATTCTGCTGTCAGTGTTCTGATGAGAAGGTGGCTCTGTCAGAATGGAAACAGAGCCCTCGTCCCAAGCCACACCACCCCACATCCCTGCTCTGGTGTGCGAGGCTGTGGGGGCCTCAATGTGGCGCACTCTGAGCTGGCAGGAGGTTGGAAGCACCAAAGACCCTAACCCTGGGCCCTCGTGGGCAGGATGGGTCATTATTCCCTCCTGGCCAACAAGCCTTCTCACCTAGCAGGTGGGGTGCAGGGGCCCACGACAACAGGGTCAGGACAGGGTGTGGGGGATGTAGAGAAGACGCCTGTCTTCAGGTGAAGACACAATCATCCCATTGCGTTAAAACCTTTTACGACAAACTTGCTTGAAGACAAAAAGGAAGGGAAAGTTGACCTGGGCATTCGGCCCTTCCCCTGGAACAGGGGCCACTGCTCAGCTGTTGCTCTTAGCTTCTTTCCTCTCTTAAAGGGCCTCCCTCCGAGTGGGATGAACTCACATCCCCATCAAACAGCAGCTTGGGACAGGAAATCTCACTGATCTTTATTTTGTTTAAAAATCCCCACACCCCCACCTCCAGATCGATAAAGAACTGGCTGGTTAAGGCCAGCAAAATCTGCCAAGTCATGGTACACAAACCAGGTGTAAGGAATGAGCCCCAAATCTATCGTAAAAACTGGATGTGTTATGTTTCGATTCTTTGGATAATCAAAATATTTAAAACATTGGGAAAAAAAGAGTTAAACTCGCTTTCAAAGTGTCTGTTAATACCTGAGATGGTCCCTATCTGCAGCAAACAAGCTCCCAAGCATCTATTCTGGAATGGAGGGGAGGCGAAGGAGGGCTGCAGAAAGACAGGCAGAACGTGGCAGGCTTTCACCCACGTTCCCACCAGGTCTCACTGCAGAAGCCCACCAGGCATGAGGCTGTGGTCCCCCGGCCCTGGAGCCACCAGCCTCAATGCAGAGCTCTCCAATGCTTTCCCTCTGTGGCCCAGGAAGAGTCCATCTGGCCCCAGGAGACTAATCTGGACAGTGTCTGGTCTCATCGGGGACATCACTTCCCTTAAAAGCATCTGCTGATCAGTCCTCCCACCTATACCTGCAGGGACATGCTGCCTATCCCTGCAGCCAGGGGGAGAGAGGTGACTCAGAGAGTGGTCACCTGGGCTTCTGGCCGTGCTAGTAGGAGGCAGTCTTGGCAATGGGACCCTTGAGCCTGACCCGGCCCCTCCTCACTGCCACTCCCCACCTGGCGAGGGTGGGATGTAGGGGTGAGCTGAACCAGGGTCCCAGCTTAGGGACGGCCAAGCACCTGAGGGGCATTTCTGGTGTGGAGAGGAGGCCAGAAGAGGGAGAGTCTGGTCCAGGTCATGGGTCTTCTGCCTGCCCGGGGCTTTGGTCAGGAACCTCAGCCAACTCCAGGCTGAATCTCCCTGAATCTCAGCTGTTCCTCTGCGGCTGCGGGCGCCTTCCAATCCCGCAGCCCTGCATGTGGTCTCCAGACGCCTTTGGTTTCTATTAAAGAAACGCAGCTTGCATTTGCATTAATTAAAAACCAAAACGATCAAGGAGGCAGGAACCCCTGAAAGTGTTAGGCTGGAAAGTCGTTCCCATAGTGTCTCAGGTGTTCATCCGCCACGGACAGGTAGGTGGCCCTCATGCTGGGAGAGTACTGTGAGAGAGAGGAGAGGGGACAGTCAGAACAGGGTCACACAGGGTTAAACCAGACACTACCAACAAAGGTGCAGGGAACTTCTGAGGGCGTGAGAGCCAGGCCAGCCGCAGCAGCCAGGCACCAAGTCTTAATGACAAGGCATCGTGGGGACTGGAGGATACTAGAGTGGCTTGGGCAGGCTTCATGGCTGGTGATGCTTTCAGCCCTGGGGCCATCAGGATACCTGGCTCCCAGTGTCAAATGCAAGAGACACACACAGACCAGCCAACCTCCCTCCACCATGGCTGCCACATCCACTCCAGTGCACACCAACAACACCAGGGACAGCGTCAGGGTGCACCAGTGCACTGAGGAGCCGCCCAGCCAGCAGGCTGAGGGCAGAGGCCCACAGACTCAGAGAGGCAGGGTCAAATCCTAGCTGTGCATCTTACTCATCCCATGACCTTGGCTGAGGTTCTCCAACTCTCCAAGCCTCAGTTTCCCCACTTGCAAAACGGACCGAAGAGCACTCAGCAATTATGTTGGAAGGATGAAATGGTATAGAGCAGGCAAGACCCTTCACACAGCAGTTCTCAAACTTGGCTGCCCCTTAGAAACACCTGGGAGTCTAAAACATCCTGACGCCCAGGCCACATCCACCAGTATTTTTTTATTGTTATGTTCATTAAAATGAACATACCATAAAATTAAGCATTTTAAAGCACCGCCCTCATTTTTTCTAAAGCTCTTCCAAATGCAGCCAAGTCAGAGAAGCAGTGACCTAACATGGAGTAAGCGCTCAACAGACGTAGGTTAGAGACACGGCTTCTCACATTGTCACGTCTCACGTCACAGGACCCGAGACTACAAGCTCCAGGAGCTGCTGACTGGTCTGTTGACTCCGAATACGGAGGGTCAGCAGGACCCTGACTGTCTCCCGGCCCCAGGGAAGTTCCCGGGGTCCAGGTCCAGGCCATTCACACCAGAGTGGGGAAGAATGCCTCCAGCTGGGGGGAGACATGAGACTCCCTAACCCAGTGGGAATCACCCAAAGGCGATTTTGCCCCCCAGGGACGTTTGGCAATATCTGGAGGCTTTTCTACTTGTCACAGTGTGGGGTAGGGAGCGGAGAGAGGCCAGGGATGCTGCTAAACCTCCGACAGTGCAGAGGACAGCCCCCATGAAATGGAATGATCCAGCCCCAAATGTGAGTAGTGCCGAGGGTGAGGGAGCCTGCCCCGGAGCAGGGGATCTCCAGGTGGGCTTCCCAGACCAGTAGCCTCAGTTTTACCCAAGAACATGTCAGAAATACAAATCCTGGGTCGTCACAAGTCCTCTGGGTGATGCCGAGGCACGCTCACGTGTGGGACCCTCCTCCTGGACGCAGAATTTCCCAAACTCACTTGATGGTAAGGATCCCCTGGGCTGCTTGTTACACTAGAACTTCCTGGGCGCCCTCCCTGGAGATTCTGTTTCCGCGTGTCAGGAGTGAAGTCTTGGTACTGCTGTTTTAACAACTGCCCGGGGCATTTTGGTCCATCAAGTCTAGGACATGGTGCCCGAAGGATAGGAGGGGTTCCTGGAAGGCAGAGCTAAGGGAAGACACATTTCTAGCCAAGGGAACGGGCAGTACATTCCGATACCTTGCTTGATATCACCCACCCAAGTGAAATTCCCCCTCTGTCCCAGAGACAGAGCTGGGAGAGGGAGGGATTTATCCAACATCAAATGCCCTGAGTACTAGTGAATATTTAGAGCAGGCGCAGGGGGAGGGTGGTCTTTACTGGGGTGCTCGTCCACACCTCCATGCTGTGGGCTCCTTGGTCGGTAGCATCAGGAGATGTCTCCTCATGCCCTGTGCATGGTATGAGGGTGGGGTCTTCCCCGGGGCAGGTTGAGCTGGGTGGGGCAGGGCAGTCAACTCTGCCAAAGCAATTAGGATTTCTGGGAAGGTTTTAATTATTGGGAGGAAGGTTGATTCTGTCCTTGAGCCTTGCAAATAAGGGCAGTTCTTGATCATCTCTGCTAATGAAACTGAAGACGAAGAAGGTAAAAAATCTTTCCTAGAGCAAAAACTTGGAGATAAGCTTGGCTAACTGCAGCTGTGCATACTCAGCATAATCAACTGTTGTTTAAAACTAACCAGGTCTTTCTGTCCCTTCTTAGTATATGAGTGAGCTGTCTTTCTCAGGAAGTCAAGGTCCAGACATCAAGATTCAGCCTCACAAGGCCAAACGCAGGCTGAAGATGAAAACTAACCAAAA